TAAAATAAATAAAAAGAGAAATAAAATAAAAGAAGAGAGAAATATCCCCTCTTCTCCTCAAGTTTTGTAAGTGGGCATGGGAGAGAAAGGGTAGGAGAGTCTGTGTGGGTCGTCTGCAAGGACAAAAGAGGAAGTTTTGCCCTTAATTTTAGACAATTTTTCAGCAAATGCCAGACATGATGTAAGAAGGCTGGTGCTGCTGAAGCCTTGCTCAACTTGTACCCCTGCAAATCCTGGTGTTAGTAACACTTTGGAAATGCTGATTTCACTGAAGTTCTTTCGTTTGCTTCCCTTTTCTTCAGGGAAAATGGAGGCTACAGCAGGAACCAGTCATCAATTCCCAGCTGCTGCCACTCTTGGATTCTGGATCAATAAAAGAGAATCAGCTCATCCAGCAAAAATGCAAAATATTCTGCCTAGGCAACCCAAGAAAGATCTGTATCACTGATAGATGCTGGCTTTTCTTCCAAGAAAAGCTGAAAACAACAACCAGGCACAGACTGGGGGCGCACAGAGGGGCCGAAGCTCCTGTGGGGTGGTGGTGGCACTGCAGGGACAGTTTGGGGGGTCAGTCCCTGGAGGTGAGTTATTCACAGCTGCTGTCACCCCCCAGACTTCACTGGCTGGAATATGGTGAGCTTGGAAGCAGTCACTCAGCCCCTGAGCAGCACAGAGGCTGCCTGGGGCAATGGGGATGTTAAATTCCATGTCCTTCTCCCTTTTCCCCCCTCTGGATCTGATAGAGGTGGCTTTTTGCCATGTCAGAGAAGTTGGTTGTGTTCCAGGCTGCAGGTGACAACAGAGAGGACAGGACAGCACCTGCAGCCTGGCCAAGAGCCATCAAAGCTGGCCTGGTGCTGGGCAGGACAGAGATTTGGACATCAGCAGATTTGGGCTCCATGATGCTGCCTGTCAATGGGCAGGACCCTGGGAAGGGCATCAGCATCTTTTATACAGGCAAGATCCACTAATGAATACTGGGAATGGGAAAAACTCACTTTGGGTGCTGCTGGATGCACAGGATCCCGTGCTTCCTCCTGCTCTGCAAGTCCTAAATTAATAAAAACCACTCTGCACTGATCAGCATTGTCTTGGTTTGGAAAGACAGGAGTCTGCTAAGGAAGGCAGGAGCCTCCCCTGAAATGGAGAATGTGAACCCTCCCCACCCCTCCAAATTGCTATGAATTTTAAATTAAGGGCTCTCAGGCAAAAGTATGGGAGCAGGAATAACAGTTCTTTAATAGGGAAAGGAAAAAAACAAAAGGATAAAATAAACAATGCAGTGAACTTGAACAACACTGCCAGAGTCAGAGCCCAGCCTGACACTCTGTGGGTCAGGAGCAAGGGGGGCCTGTAGAGAAGGATGGATTCTTCCTCTGAAGATCCAGTGGAAGGAGAGGCAGCTGCTGTTCCTCTGGGGAATCCAGTGCAGAAGCTGTGCTGGTGTCTCCAAACCTCTGGATTATATCCGGGTAGGAATGCTTGGCTCCTCCCCCTGGGCAGAGCATCTCACACTGGGATGCTGCAGCTCTTATCAGCCATGCAGGGACATTCAATAGCTGTTATCAGCAGATGTCTCCTCCCCAGGGAGGTGTGATTGTGGTCACTCAAAGGCAAACTGCCCACTTGACAAAGGTAATCTGCCATACAGATGGTAATGGAAAACATCCTGCATTGCAATCTTCAACAAGAATCATCTTGGTGGGTCACTTCATTTCCAGCCATCCAGGCAGGGAAATGGGATTGATTCAGGTCCTGGATCTGCTGACAAACATCTTCCTGCCTCCCCCTGCAGGCCTGGGAGCCCTCCCTGCCCCAGGAGCAGCAAACACAACCTGCTGCTCACAGCTTGGGACTGCTCAGCCTTTCAATATGAACTGTGTGCAGCTGCAAGCAGAGCCCCAAGCCCAGGTTTGTCAGATCCAGTGCTCAGAATTCATCAAAGCCAGAGCTGGGCAGAGGCAGCAGCTCAGGGCAGGGGCTGCTCTCCCCTGCTCTCACTGGGGATGTTTGGATTCCTTATTTTAGAGCCATCTGATGCCTGTTTGTGAGCCCAGGCCGAGCACTGGCTCTGCCATGGAGCCCTGCACAGCCTGCAGCGTGGGAATGGCAGGAGCTGCTCTGAGCAGGGCACTGAGCAGGAACCCAGAGCCCAGGGAAACGCTGCTTGTGGGAGCTGCACTCCAGCAATGCCCTGCTCCTCATGGGCAGAAAAGAAAGCAGAGAAAGGCAATCCAAGAGCATCTGAAATTAGGCACAAATGAAACACTGCTGCAAAACTTGTGGGACTCTATCCACGTGGGTGACAGAATAACAGAATCACAGAACTCACAAAAGTCACAGAGTCACAGAATCACAGAACTCAGAGAATCCACAGAATCACAGAACTCACAAAAATCACAGTCACAGAATCACAGAACTCAGAGAATCCACAGAATCACAGAACTCACAAAAATCACAGAGTCACAGAATTTACAGAATCACAGAATCCACAGAATCACAGAACTCACAAAAGTCACAGTCACAGAATCCACAGAATCACAGAATCACAGAACTCACAAAAGTCACAGAATCACAGAACTCAGAGAATCCACAGAATCACAGAACTCACAAAAGTCACAGAATCACAGAATTTACAGAATCACAGAATCCACAGAATCACAGAACTCACAAAAGTCACAGTCACAGAATCCACAGAATCACAGAATCACAGAACTCACAAAAGTCACAGTCACAGAATCACAGAACTCAGAGAATTCACAGAATCACAGAACTCACAAAAGTCAACAGAATCACAGAATTTACAGAATCACAGAATCTACAGAATCACAGAAATCACAGATTCACAGAATTCACAGAATTCACAGAATCCACAGAATCACAGAATCCCAGAATCCCCAGGTTGTCAGAGACCTCCAAGGCCATCGAGTCCAGCCCAGCCCCAGCCCCTCACCCAAACCCTGGCCCCCAGTGCCACATCCAGGCTTTGTTAAACACCCCCAGGGATGGGGACTCCCCCACCTCCCCGGGCAGAACATTCCAGAACTTTATCCCCCTTTGTGTCAAACACTTTTCCCTGCTATCCAGCCTGGATTTCCCTTGGTGCAGCTCGGGGCTGTGTGCTCTGGTTGTGTCAGAGCCCAGCCCCAGCTGAGCACAGGCACCTTTCAGGGCATGTAGAGAGTGATAAGGTCCTTCTTATCAATTTAGTCAAGTAATTCCCATTTCACACACACTGAGAACAGTTCAGCTGGTGTCAAGACAAGTGGACAGTCAGGTGGAGGGGCCAGAAGCACCTCCTGCCATCACCTGTCCTGTTTTAGAGGGCAAACCCAGCAGGGGCTGTGCCAGAGAAGATTCCTGCCCCATTTCCAAACAGAACAGATTCCTGTCCCACTTCCAGCCAGAACAGATTCCTGTCCCAGAACAGATTCCTGTCCCATTTCCAGCCAGAGCAGATTCCTGCCCCATTTCCAGCTGGATTCCCCATGGGATCTCTCTCCTGGCAGCTGCTCCTCAGCACTTTGCCCTCCATGGGCACCTCTGCTCCCCAGGAAAGGGCCCAAGGTCAGCTCTGAACCCGGCTCCTGCTGCCAGGGGACAGCCAGGGACACTTTGGGCACAGCCCCAGTGCATTTTTAATCCCTCCTGTCAGTTATTGTGCAATCACTGAGTTACTTTAACAGGAAGGAAGAGGCTTGAACACCCAACCTACATTCAGGACTGCAACGAGGTGTTTTGGTAAATCAAAAGTGTTGCAAACATGAAGAAACTTCATTTCCTCCTGGAAATAAATCCTGGAATGTGCTTTCTTTTCCACTTCTGCTCTTCCCAGCACTTCAGTGTGGGGAGGTGACCAGAGCCCAGGATGGTCCAACATCACTGACCCATTCCTAAGAAGAAATGATTAGTTATTAATAGGTTATTAATTATTTAATAGAATTATCATGGAATCACGGAGTGGTTGGAGTCAGAAGGGACCTTAAAGCTCACCCAGCTCCAGCCCCCTGCCATGGGCAGGGACACCTTCCACTAGAGCAGTTTGCTCCAGGCTTGAGTCCCCAAAAGCTTCACCAGCAGCCCAGGTGAAGGCAATGCAATCACACCTGAGATATTTGCATTATAAACCCCAACAAACGTCACTTGTTAAGCTGAGTTCTAGATGGGCTTGGTTTTACTCTTCAGGAGGCATCTCAGGAAACAGGATGCAAAAAACAAAAAGGAAAAAAAAGGCTTTAAAAAAGCCTGGATTTCAAAGTCAGAGGAACATCACAGCATTCAGCTGGAGTGACTTTTCCAGAGTGAAAAAGGGACAGGCAGGACCTGGAAACCACAGAGAGCTGAGTCCCAGGACATCCAGTGGGTTTGGAACTGGTTTCAGTGCTCAGAGGTGGCTCTGGGAGCCTCCAGGCCCCAGCTCAGCCAGGAATTCTGCACTCCTGGTGCCTGTCAGCAGCACTGAGCTGCAGCTCTGCAAACAGGGATGGCCTGGGCTCAGCATTGCTGGGGATTTCTTGCCAGAGCGTGCCAGCCAAACCCAAGGGCTCCTGTGGAAAATGAAGCATTTCAGGCCTATAAAAACTGATGAGAAATCAATGTTCTGCTGCAAAATCCTGCTTCATACTGCAGCCAGTGAGCCTCTTCTCCAGGAGGCAGAGACTGGCTTAGTCAAAAAGAGCTAACAAAAAATAAATAAATCAACTCTGCTATATCAAGATCCATAATTCATAGAGCTTTGTCGCAGAACACACCCAAGTGCCATCAATATTTTAAATATTGAGCACAAAACTGGCTGTCAAGTGCAAGTCAGCAATTCCTGGTGCCTCCCTGCTGGGGACAAAGCCCTGAGCAGAGTTTGTTTGACTCTGTTACATATTTTATTTGAAACACAAGATGCGTTTGCAGGAGCAAATCAGCCAGGCTCTGCCAACCAACAAAAAGAGTCAGCTGGCTGCCTGTGCTCATTAATAAACAGAAAAAATGATTTCATCACACCAACATGAGGCTGTATATGTTTATTCATCGTCAGTACTTTTGTACACAAGGCAAATATTAATAGCTGAAAGGCAACACTTTTGGGGAGTATGTACAGAGCAATGTACAGGCAAGTGTAAGAGGCTTGAAACTATGAATTGATTTAACTGTTTTATAAAAAAGAAGTGATGCTTTTTCTTCTATGACCTCCCTTAGAAATAATTTATTGCCAATCTCAAACTAAAGCAAGGAGAGAAAAAAAAAATTTACAATAAAAAGTAGTCCCTGGAAAGTTTATAAAAAGTTAAACATATAAAATTGTAAGCCACAAACATTTATACAAAGCTAATACAAATCTTGGTTTTGTTAAAGATCTATGAGGTTGTTATAAAATATATTTTTACATAAAGGCTTCACATAAGGTAAGCTCTCACTGCTACTGAAAGCGCAGGAAAGCAGTTTTAAATAGTCTGCAATTCAACTTATTTTCAAGTACAACGCAAAGAAATTGCAAAATGGCACTGTATTGCAATGCTGTGTAATTAAAAACTACATTAATGGTACCATCAGAGAGACAAGAGCTGTAAAGTGAACTGGTGAACCATTTGCAGGAGACTTCCCCAGGGTGTGGGACAGGAGTGGGGCTGGAAAATGAAAATGATAAAAAATGAACCTTCTGCAGGAGGAACTGCCAGGGTGCTCTGGGGCATGGGGGACAGCTCAGATCCACCAGGAACCCCCAGAGTGTGGAACAGGAGCGGGGCTGGAAAATGAAAATGATGAAAATGAACCTTCTGCAGGAGGAACTGCCAGGGTGCTCTGGGGCATGAGAGACTGCTCAGATCCACCAGGAACACCCACCCACCCACCCCATCATCTGCTGGATAATGCTGAATTTAAAGCTACTCACAAACAAGCCCCATGAACACCTTTGAGATCAATTTGACTTTTTTTTTAAGAGCAGTTATTCTAGAAGAAAGCTGAAGTTTCACACAAACTGATGGCTTATGCTCCCACATACAATATATATTAAAAAAGTAACATTTTTAAAGCCCTGATGAACAGCCACAGTTTTTAGGTATCAATCATCTCAGCTGAACACTCTGCAGCAGGGAACAGTTGCTAAAACACCAATTTCACCTTCAAGTACAGCTTGTGCAGGACAGTGGTTTATCTCCATAGGGTCAGTGATCTTTAGAACACAGCTCACTCCAGCAAAGAGAACTGAAGAATTTTGGGAAATTTGATTTTCTGGGACATTTCACTTTCTATCTGCTTTCCCACCTTCACCAGGAATACATCCCAACCTTGTACCACAGACTGGTTTCCACGAGGAAGCTTCACTCTCACCAGCAAACTGCAATTCTGGTTGTTTCAGGACAAAACTCAGCCTGCTCAGAGCATCAACCCTTCAGCTCTTGTACCAGATTTATGTCCTGCAACAAAGAAATGCTTTGTAGGAACAAATCTAACAGGAAATACAACAGCCCAAGGTGTGAACCAATGAGGCAGGGCATGAAGAGTGAGCCTGAAGATGGGCAAGGCTGCTGCTTTGGGGTTTTTGGCTGTAGGGTAACACAGGAACCATGTAAACAGAACATCCAGGTGCATCCCCTCACCCCTGTCAGCACTGGGAGTGGGAACCCCGAGTGATTGGACTCAGTTATTCCATTAAAACAATTCATTTCTGCCTGAGATTCATGGAGTGCTTTATCCACCAGGGCCCACAAGGGACCCAGCACTGGGGTCCCCCTTGCTCTCTCACAGGCCCTGGGCTTCACAGGGAGAGGCTCTGGAAGGATTCAGAACAGGGATTTTTGTGGTGGTTCTGGGCAATTTCCCCCACTTTAGTCAAGGTCAGAAGTGCCCAGTGCCTTGGTGACCCTGGTGCATCCTCAGACTGACATCAGTTTGGAGGATCTTCAGTAAATTAACAGGTTCCATTGACAAAAAAATCATCAGTACTTCACAAAAATTAGTTCAGACAAATCCCTGGTACTCACCCTATCATCCACTACCAGTCTTTAGTCTTTTCTGCCATCATCTGGTCTGACACCCTCCAAAGCACCTACTGCAGACCTCTCCAAATCAACTGTTTTAATCAGATGTAAGTCTCTGTTTTGAAAAGACACTTGTTCAGACACCTGGCAACAAAGCAAAAACCAACCCAACTCCTCCTCCTGTTGACAACCAAGGGCAGGAATTTATTTTCTGCTTTCCAAGACTGGACTTGGAGGCCAGCAGAGGTTTGAGTCTGTTCTTGGAGCATTTAGAGCCCAAAGGAGAACTTCTGCTCCCATCACAGGTGTGTTGCTCTGTCCTTGAAAGAGCCTCACCAGCCTTTCCTGAGGTCTCTGCTTCATTCTCCTTCCTGAACTGCTCACATATAACCTGAACACACCAAATCAGAAATAATCCATGTCCAGTAGAGGCAAAATCTACATTAAATATCCCCATCCAAGATTCTTTTAACCCTCCTGACATCAGTGCTGCATCCAGACTTTAGGATTATGTTTAGATTCTGCACTGTGACTTCTCCCAAGCTCTTTTCAGAATTCTTTCCTCCCCAAACAGTGCCTGATGGCCAGAATCACAGACTAACCTATGACTATTCACTGGATAATATAAAAAAATAGAGGTCTTTCCAAGCACCTAACTAAATAAAAATACACTATTCCCCTTCTACTGCCAGGAGAACGAGGTACAGAGATGTTAATAAACTTACAGTCACAGTAAGTAAAGGCTAAGTTCAGGAGACAGGCAGCTTTCCTATGTCCTGGCAGGGCCACTGCTCCCAGCAGTGACACCACCACACCACCCCTGGCTTGTGGGATGAGAACAAAGAAGCATTCAAGGATTGGCCACCAGCATGATCCACAGGAATTGGCCAATTCCATGGGGCAGAGTGGCAGCTGAGCTGCCCACACCACTACAGCCTGGGGGAAACCTGGTAGGGACACTGATTTTTGTATCACAATCTCACTCTCTTTTTGCAGTGTGCTGTGGGGTACATCAGGATTGCTTTATTTTCACTATTTTTCATTATTATTATTATTATAATTTCTTCTTTTAATCACATGGCAACGCTAACAACTCCCCATAAGAAATGAAACAAAACTGCAAAAGGACTTTGGGTAAAATAGTCACAAGCAGCACTCTGGAAGATGCTGTGCAACATATTTGGCTCAAGTACACTTAGGATTGCTTAGACCCAACTGGAAAGTCTCAGAAAGAACCTCATCAGCTCAAGCACATTTTGCTGGGACAAGGTCTTTAATTTTTTCAGAAGAAAACATTCATCTGCATGGTGTCAGCTACACAAGGCCTCTGCTGGGAATTCATAAGGCCACTGAAAATACCAGAGGAGGACAGAACACAAGGAGGCACTTAGGTTTGCAAGTCCTTCTCTCCATCAGCAAATGCTCCTGACTCAGAGGAGGCACCTGGCAAGGAGGCAGGGAGTTCAAATAAAGCAGTGCTAAGTTAAAGAGCTTCCAGAACAGGTGACCCACAGGTAACATCTGCTCAGTGAAGGTAAAAAACACAAGCTGGGCTTGCTCCCCCCTTCCCACACCAGAGTGCCAAGAGGATTGATCAGAGTGCTCTGTGCTTTGCCATGGCTCCAGGACACCTCTGGAGAGAATCTGTGTACTGTGCCAACCATGAATCCCTCATCACTGCACTCAGCACTTCCTGATAGATATGTCTGAAACTCCTGATTTTCCATATTTTTGAAGCATCTCCTATTCCATCCCAATGCCATGATTTATACTTAAGCAGGGAGTACGTTACACCCAGGAATGGGCTGCAAAGAGATGATTCCAGCAAGGGATCTGATGGGATTTCTAACCAAAAACAGACCTGAGAAATCATAAGTCAGCTATGGTATCACAGTCTTCACAATGAAATCAGATGTGAGAAGTTTCTCTCTCTCCCCCCCACCTTAAATTACTGCCACAGTCTAATAATTGCAACAATTTCATTGACGTTTTGACTTGGAATTCTGGATTTTCTAGGATAATACATATGTTGGTAAAAGGTCAAATTTACCACCTTACAGGTAACTTAGATATAGGTCTGCTATGAAATTACAACTTGAGTCAACTTGAAGCTACACTGGAAGAGATTAAGCCTGAATTTCTGCAGAAATTGGCAATAACGTGTTCAGCAGCAGCTTTCAGCCACATATCAAGAAGTCTGACAGGATCTGGATTTCTCTACTCCTGCTGTAAACTTCTAGTTAAAAAAACAACACACAAGAGTTACTGAAGTAAAGCAGTCTTTTTGCACATCACTGTAACATCAGCTGCTTGAGGTTGTCGTGCAGGATGGTATCTTTAACATCACGGAAAACTAGCCGGATGTTCTCTGTGTTAATAGCAGTGGTGAAGTGGTGGTACAGGGGCTTCTGCTGCTGGTCCCGGCGTTTCGTGCGAAAACAATCCACCAGGAATTTTTGGACATCTGTTAAGCAGTGGGGATCCCCTTCAAATTCTGGGAAATAGTCTTTGATGCTGACTTTCTGTACTTTTTCCTCAAGCAAGTCCGTTTTGTTCAAGAAGAGGATGATGGAGACGTTGCTGAACACCCGGTTGTTGACTATCGTTTCAAAAATGTTCAGGGACTCCGTGAGGCGATTCGTCTGCCTGTCCTCCATCAGCACTTGGTCAAACTCACTGGAGGACACCAGGAACAAAATTGATGTGACACTGTCAAAGCACTCGAACCACCGCTTCCGTTCCGACCTCTGGCCGCCCACGTCCACCATCTTGAAAGGGACATTCTTGATTTCAAAGTCGTACTCGTGAATCCCTTTGGTGGGCCTTCGTGCCAGCAGGATGTCTTGCTGGGAGGGAAGGTAATCCTAGAAAAATAAGGAGAGTTTTGTGATTAGGGTGTGATGATGGGTATGGGCACAGCTGAGCTGCAGTGGAGAGAGCAGCTTGCAAGGGAACAGGACAAGGTTTGCAATAAGAAGACATGGATGTGGATTTTCCATGGTAACGTTGGAGCTTTTGGGCAAGAGCTGGAGGCCAAAGCAGGAAACACATCCAATATTAAACCAGAACATGTACCCCAAAGAACTTCAGCTTTCCTTCTGGCACGTGACAAGGATCCATAACCAATTTCAGAGGTGAACCAGCAATTCCTCCAGCCAGTTCCCCTCATTCTGGATCACCTCATGCTTCCTTCACTCCCTTCCCACAACACTGGCTGCCAATAGTTTGTGATTAGGATGTGATAATGGGTATGGGCACACCTGAGCTGCAGTGGAGAGAGCAGCTTGCAAGGGAACAGGACAAGGTTTGCAATAAGAAGACATGGATGTGGATTTTCCATGCTTTTGGGAAAGAGCTGGAGGCCAAAGCAGGAAACACAACCAATATTAAACCAGAAGATGTACCCCAAAGAACTTCAACTTTCCCTTTGCCATGTGAAAAGGATCCATAACCAACTGCAGAGGTGAACCAGCAATTCCTCCAGCCAGTTTCCCTCATTCTGGATTTCGTGCTTCCTTCACTCCCTTCCCACAACACTGGCTGCCAACAGTTTGTGATTAGGATGTGATAGTGGGTATGGACACAGCTGAGCTGCAGTGGAGAGAGCAGCTTGCAAGGGAACAGGACAAGGTTTGCAATAAGAAGACATGGATGTGGATTTTCCATGCTTTTGGGAAAGAGCTGGAGGCCAAAGCAGGAAACACAGCCAATATTAAACCAGAACATGTACCCCAAAAAACTTCAGCTTTCCCTCTGGCTTGTGAAAAGGATCCATAACCAACTGCAGAGGTGAACCAGCAATTCCTCCAGCCAGTTTCCCTCATTCTGGATCACCTCATGCTTCCTTCATTCCCTTCCCACAACACTGGCTGCCAACTCTACCATGGGTTCTAAACCAGCTTTCTCCAACCAGTAACTATGGGATGGATATCCCATGCCAGCTGTGGGTTCTCCATTCCTCCCATGCTCTCCTGCAAAGTGCATGACTGCTTCCAGAAACAAACCAGCTGCTCCACTAAGTAACTTTGAAGCAATCAATTATGCCTGAAAACTAAAACCTAAGTTAACTTCCTGTGTTTGTGCCATGCATCTTTGCATTCTGCTGGATCAGTGCACACTGGTGAGCTCACACTGCCTGACCTTGCCCAGAATTTACTGTGCAGTGAGTAGAACAGGGGAAGAAACTGAGATCTGGGTACAGCTCTTTCCAGTTCAGTTCCTTCCAGCCTGGGGGGCACAGAGAGCTGTATCCTGAAGTTCTCCAGCCCACCTCTCCCCAGAATTTAAGAAGCATTCAAGAGACTATTTTTTTTTTTAGATTGTTATATGAACATCATCAATAGATGCAGATGAAGAGGAATTCTTATTAGTCAGCTTTTAACAGCATGAATTCAACATTCAGATTGGGGATTTCTTCATTCCTAGAATTACACTTTGGTCTATGGTCCAAGTCCTTCTGTTATCTGCAAAGTGCATCTCTACCACAGCTGCCTGTGCTGGACTTTAAAACCTTGTTGTTCCCTTGTTATGGAAACTCTTCCTCATATTTTTCCAGCATTTCTCACCCTTTCAGAGAGCGCTATTTAGGTTTTGGAATTTCAGTCTCTTGTTAAAAAGTGAATGATCTATGATCTTCCTTTGACAGTGCCAGTTCCCACACTTGGAGCTTTTCTAAAGACATGTAAGAGCAAGGTTCAGAAAGTCTGATTCAACCAGTCAGCTGGGTGGGGGAACAGGCACACCATGGCTATTGCAGTAGCTGTATCCAAGCTTAAGGCAACTGGGCAAGCTCAAACCACAAAAATAAAATTTAAAAATCATGAAGTGAGCGCAACATTTCAAAAGCTCAAGGATCACTTTGCTTTACCCTGTTAAGTTCCAAAGTGAAACCAGAGAGAGAGGGAGGGCTTTGTGTGAACTCTGGCTTCCTCTTCCCAAGCTGCCCATGACTAAGGCACTGATTTTTATCGTGGCACAAATTACAAAGCAGCTCTGAAGCACAGGCTCCCCACCCTGCAGCCTTTGCTGCAGCACTGTACACAGCCAAACCCCACAGCACCAAAGTCTGGAGGGCAGGAGAATTCCTAAAGCAACATCAAGCTCCCTCCAAACTGACCAAAAGAGCTGCTGTCACCCCCTTGTCTGATTAATAGACAACTTGAAAGGGTGATAAGACTTTTCCCTTGGTTAAATCTTGGGTCTTTTCTACTGAAATTAGAGAGAGGAGAACAATCAGCAAATCAGTGCAGGGACTGTATGAAATGTCACTGGGCACATGTGAAGGGATTCTGAGCAAAGCTGACTGTCAACATGTAGGCAAGAGTGTCACAGGTTCAGCACTCATGCCAGATTCCAAATGGGAATGTATATTCTGTTGTTTTTCAGGAAGTTTGTCTCAGCTTCTCAGAACAAAAGCAACAAGTCTTAGGAAAGCTCAGGAGTGAGTGAAATTATTAAATTATGTAAATAAATAAAACCAACTGATATAATAGGCAAAACCACATGCACCTTCAATATTGAAACAAGGGCACAAAGCAAATTTTCCTGGGAGCTGGCCTGTAATGTTTATTCAGTAAAGCTTTCAGGAACAAGCTTCTCCCCAGAATTCCTGACAAATTCCCTCTCCAGCACTATTACTCATTGAAAATTCCTTCCACACTTGCAGTCACAAAGAGAATCCTTTCTACTTCTACATTCTGCCATGGAACTGGGTATCTTTAAGGTCCCATCCAACTCAAACACTCCATGTTTTATCCTGGCTATTGCCTACTCTGATCCAACAGGCAGCACATGAGGGTTCTGTGAGTTCAGTGCTGGTACCCAGCCACCTTCTGGCTACAGGAGAGCAAACACAACAACTCCCAGGAACTCTCCCAGTATTTTAGTTCTCTTTCTGAAGGACAATTATGTTTTCTCCCTCATGCTCAGGTCCTTGGAATACAAGCAGCTTGTCCCTGCTCAGTGCTGATCCCATTCTCCACGTGTGAAGACAGCAGCACCAGGTGAGTATTTTCCTTGAATGACACTGAGTCTTATTTTCCAAGTTCTTTCAATGCTTTGCCATTGCCAATAAGTGCAATAAGTGTTTTCTTCCCCTCAAGCATCCTCACATTGATACTGATTTGGAACACGTGCTTTCTTCCTGATTTTCATATCTCCTTTCCTCAAATTCACTGCAGTCTGCTTCTTCTAAAGGAGTTCCTTTGCTTATCAGCAGCACTTTTGGCTATCACATCACTGTTTGCCTAGCTCAAATTACAATTTAAGGCATGACTAAGATCCAATCACAAGATGGAAAGCCAAGTCTCTCTGGGAGGTATTTTGGATACACAGAGTCTGCACTGGCAGTTGAAATAGCAACACAGAGCTGCAAGGAATCCAGGAGATCCCACGCACGTCTGCCTGTCAGACACTCTTATTCTGCTGATCTGATTCAATCTGAACATTAAGTTCTTTTCCCTCTTATCAGCTCCCTTTTGGCAAGAGGCACGTGAATTGCAGATCTATGTGTTTATAAGCAATTTAGTTGCAAGTCAGCCCAGTTGCATCAGATAAGAACAAACACTTTTATTTACAATTTGGGGAAAACAATCATGAGATAATCTTGCATATAGATAAGAATAAACCAGAAGAACCTATCAAATCTTTCACTAACAAAACCTAGCTAGTGCTCTTTCCCTCATAGATTTAACATTTTTTACAACAGCAGATCCTGATGAGTCTCTGATTCTCAACACCAGAAAAGCTGTAATTCACAGCACTGCCACAGAAACATCAGACCTGCAGTGTGTTTATGTCTAAAAATATTTAAAAAACCCAACTGCTGACCAAGTGTCACACTTTAATCAAAGAATAAACCAACGTTTCTCTGTTAAGAACTTTGAAATGGAGCTACAAGACTCTATCCAATATTGTTGGGGAAAAATCCAAGTCCTTTGAAACTGGAAGGCACTGGATGCAAGGACCATGAGAAATCCCCCACTGGCAGAGAGTTCAGCAGCTCATTACAGCAAGTGCAGACCCCCTAAGTGAGATATTAGGGGATATAATGCACTAAGTGCAAGTTTCATATCTCAAGACCAAATCCAAATTCAGAGATCAGGTGCTGGAGTTCCCAAGCCAGAGATCTGGGAAGCACAATGCCCACCAGTGCTTTAGTTACAACAGTGACAGTTCAAAGCAGAAAAATAGTCTGGCTTAAAATTTAACCTGTTAAAAACAAAAATGAAATTATGCACGATGTAACAGGGTTTCACTGAAGTGGTTTGGATTCCTTCATTTGTTACCATCAGCTGGGAATGACCATGGACAAACTGCCTTCCCACAGAGCTCAAGCACCATATTAGAACTCCTGCTTTAAAGGCAATTTTTCCACATGCTATTCCTGCAATCCACAACTGATGAACATCAGCAGATACCTTCATTATTCAAGTGCTAATTAACAGTTCTATAAAAAAGTATTCTACAGAAATGTCAGGGTTTTCTCCAGAGAAAACAAGACTTTATTCTTTACTGGGTTTATGTTCAAGTAGATATTCCTGGAAGGTACCACTGACCTGGGACTGATTTAACTCAAGAGTTCCTAACTGGACACGTAACCCCAAACCCAGTTGTTTTCAGATGTCATTTAGTCTTGAAAAGCTACTCTAACAGTCTCCTGCCTGGCCAAGTATTTGTAACTTGTTTTTTGTTGGATTTTGACAGATGGTTTATATCCAGAAAGTCTCCTGGCCCTTGCATTGCCCTGTGTTTTTGACATGTCAGTGATGAACTGCTGAGATAATGTGACAGTCTGAGTTAACTAAAGATAAAGTCATTGGAGTAGACACTAATTACATTTCATCTATTTAAAACCCAGAGATCACAAAGACTACTTCAAACTCAAGACTGGAAAGAAAAATAAAAAAGGACTTACTTGTTCTCCAAGTTTATCCAAGTTGTCCAAGAAATACTTTACAGATTCCCCCTAAAAACAAATCAAACAGTTATTTAAATAAGCGACATCCTTGATCCCAACAGTTTACATTCTGAAGTCCAGATAATTTATCAGAAACCTACATTTAAGCATTGTAAGCTTTAATCACTGCCCTTTTTAAAAGCAGCTATCCTAAGAACACAACTGATGATTTATTCTCAGGCCAGTTAATATTTAAGCTTAAAAGCATAAAAGGCACATTTATAATAGTCACATTCTTTCCAAGTTTAGACTTGATAAATAAATCCAAGTGTTATCCACAGGGAACATCAATGAAGCAGCCACACCTTCGTTATGAAAAGAAACATTCAATTCCTCTGAGGCTTAGCAGTGTGCACACACAGGCATTCAGGTGCAGGGATTAACCACCAGAGAAAGTTCATTTCTACTGCAGTGCCACAGGACTCATGCCCACAGGGATGAGCAGAGCAAGGATGAGAAACCACAGCACACAAAGCATTTTACTGAAGCTTCCCATCACACACCAAGCTGGACCAGAACATCTTACTCTGAGTGATGAGCAGAGCTGCTGTGCATGATATCACATTTATAATCCAGGTTTATCTTCTGGGTTCCACTCATCCCTGTCCTGGCAAAGGGTAACTGCAGCTTTTAATCCCTCCAGTAATGCAGAACTAAAGGTTTTTTCATGGTAAACCTGAACCACAGTCAATCCTGCAGAGCTCCATCAGGGTGCTGGGATTAAGGAGGAATTCTGCCATGGATACTGCTGCACCTGAGTTCATTTGCAATAGGAATGTACTGATGGAATTCCCTGCAGAGGAAAACACCTTTTTAAGGTTCTCAACATCCTCACAGAAGCACAAATCTGCTTCCTTTTGGAAACTCTTAATTACCAGCTGTAACTTGCTCATTTTACAGTAAGTGCAGAAGAGAAACCACCTGTGTTTTCACTCTGCAGGTGGAAGAGCAGGAATTCTGAGTGAGCTCTCTTGATGAGAGAATCAAACAGCATCTGAGGCTGGGGTGACTCCACCTAATCCAGACAAGTGAATTAGGACAGGAGCTACACCCTGATAGTGACTTCCCCTCACTTCAATCTGAGCTCTGCAAGCTCATCTAGGGAGAATATGAACCTCACAATTCAACTGTGCCATCTAAGCATGTACCCTGAGCAGAGCAGGGTAAATAAAGGCCAAAAAGGGTTCTGGCAGACACATCAGCAAGGTACCTCTGCAAGGTTTCAGGCACTAAAATAAGTTACATAATACAAGTAGATGCCACACCTTTAAGTGTGCAATTTGAACATCAACATTTAATGAGGCAAAACTGGGCTCTGGTTGGAACATGCCTCCTGCCCAACACACCTCTATGCCTTATTTTACCTCCTGTTTGCCTCAGCTGTCCTGATTTTCTCTGGGGTGACAAACTGCAGCAGGAACAGCATTTTAAGTAGCACACAGCAGCAACTGCTTGCAATGACAGCAGTATTGTGTCTTTTCCATCATCTGTTCTAGCCTCAATCCTCTAAGGAAGGTACACAGGGAAGAGCATTCCTATTTCACAGAAAATAAACAACCCTGATGCATGAATCCATCAAGCTTCCCAAGAAGGAGTAACAGGATCAGAATTCAGGCCTTCCAAGTGCTAAAGCCACTGTCTGTAGCTGAATACTAAGGCAAAACAAATTTTAAGGTCAGATTTAATTTCTTTTTGAGGTGCCAATAGGAGCTGGCAACCTTCCCTTCCCCACAGGGCTGGCTACATACCAATCAGGCAGATTTCAGACTCACTAAGTGCAGGCATTTACTCTGGAATACCTGGGCCTCAGAGGCTGAACTTGTGTGTGTGTGTGTGTGCATACAAACATGCATTTTAATCTTAGACAGCTTTTTATACAACTTGCAGCAATACCTACTCCCTAAAGAAGCATTAACTCTGCAGTTAATGTGGAAGTTACTACCTCTCCCTCTCCTTTAAATCCCAGGGCTTGCAGCTACTGCAATGCACAGAGCAGTTGGAGCAGACAAGCAAACCACAGCCTGGAAAGGTCACAAAACATCCCCACAGGCAGCTTTCCAAAAGAGGGGATTTCCTGAAATCACAAATGCAAAATGCACAGGCCTGCAGCGACAGCAGCGCTCCAGAGCCACCCATCCAACAGCAAAGTCACCCAGGGAGCACTGAGATGCCAGCTCCACTCCTGGGCTGGCACCTCTCAGAGTCAATGGCACACAAGCATCAAGGTGGCCAGAAACTGAACTATTAAATCCATCAGTTCCAACATAACCCAGCTCATTAAGCTGAGACATTCCAGCTTCCCTCCTCCACACCGTGGGCTCAGCTGCTTGGGCTCTCCCCTCATAAAAATCTGTTCAGACAGCAAGTGCTGAGGACATGACTCAGCTCTGTAACCAAGGATAGAAGTTGTTCATTCACTGTTTTTTACCTGCATACCAATTACAAACCTAGAACAGCTTCAAGCTCATCATCTCTTCTCCCATCCCACTCCAGCCACAAGCCAGGGCCCTGACCAGTGGTAATTTTCTGTCTGCCCTGGACATGTTGCCATCAGCAGGATGAGCTCTGCTAACTACAGACACTCCTGAACAGATCTTTATCAGAATGCACTGCTGGAGAACCAGAGAGTTTTGACCCATTTAAACAAGCTTCAAAGAGGCAGCATTACAAAGCAGCCAAGCTTCAATCCCTTCCCAAAGTGTGAAGTTTTTTATTTTAGCCAATAATGAAGAGAAACACATTGAAAAACTCAGCACACAACAACTGAGGAAAGCCTTAATGCCACCTATTTTTAAAAATCAGTTAGAAAAGGACCCATTCACATCCCTGCAGCCCCAAAGGCAGCTTCTGTGTTAGGCTGCTTTTCCTTGGTAGATAGAGAACCAGATCCCATTCAGTAAATCCATGACAGGGACCAGATTGAAACAGCTGTATTCAACAGCTGTCACCTAAAATTTCCTTTCTGACAAACTGCAAACTCTCTGGTTTACCCAAGATGACTAGAAAAAAGAAACTGGGTTTCCCCACTGTGTGCCACTAATGCCTGTGTGGCTCACCATGTCCAGCCCTGCCACGAGGCTGCTCAGCAATCAGTCTGTGGTGTCACACCACAAAGGAGCCACACCAAGGGCAAAATCTAGACAGGAATGAGACAACTGAAGGATCTGCCCCCATTAAAACCCCCACAGTTCTCCATTACACTCCTGATGTCTTCACACCCACGTTCTGTGAGTACATAGGACGGAAATTTAAAGATTAGCTAAAAATACAGAGATGGCCCCAGGACAGGAAGGACCTTGACCTGTTGGACAGAGTCCAGAGGAGGCCACCAAGTTGATTACAGAGATGGAGCACCTCTCCTACAAGGAAAGGCTGAGAGAACTGGGAATGTGCAGCCTGGAAAAGGGAAGACTTTGGGGTCACCTAACTGTGGCCTTCAGTACCAAAAGGAAAGATGGAAAAACTATTTACAAGGGTGTGGAGTGACAGGACAAGGGGGAATGGCTTCACACTGACAGAAAGTAGGTTTAGATTGGTTATTAGGAAGAAATTCTTTACTTTGAGGATTCTGTGGCACTGGCACAAGTTGCCCAGAGCTGTGGATGCTGCATCCCTGGGAATGTTCAAGGCCAGGCTGGACAGGGCTTGGAGCAAGTGGGATAGTGGCAGGTGTCCCTCCACAGCATTCCATAGCTCTGTGTGACACTCTCACTTCAGTCCCATGTGAACCTTCTCTTTTAAATGCAGATGAACTCTCTGAAGTCACTTGCACAGTTGAGCAGTTTGGAAATGCAAATCTCTGAAGGCTGCAGTGACACTGCAGGAACCAGCCATGCCATGGGGCCCAACTCATCCCCTGCACTCCAAGTACAGCCCAAAGATGCCAATACAAGGAGACAAAACCCAGCACAGGCTTGGGCACACATCTCACATGAATATTGAGGTACTGCAATAAAGCAAATTTCTTGAGCACACCCCAATATAGCAGAATGAACAACCTACACATCAGCTCCAAAGGCCTTCTGGAGTTACAGGAGGGGGCTCTGGCTGTTTTAAACTTTGTTAAATTATATCAGGGTATTGGATTTTTAGGCAGTGCCTTTTGAAGCTTGAGAAAGATGCCCTTTTTTGTTCAGATGGACTATACATGTCTCAGCTGTGGCCCTTCAGCCTCCTCCTGATTCAGAAATGCATGTAAACCACAGGAAGTTGACTGTTAAGTAACTTTATTCATAACTGTCAACTCTTCCATTTTCAGCAAGGTTTGAGTCAAACCAGCCTGTGTCTCCTGGAGCCCTGTGATGCTCCCTGAGAGAGCCAAGCCACTTCACCATGAATGTACAAGAAAACACACCAATCTTACTCCTATCAAGGTGACTGACACAACAGCTTTGCATTAAACTACTTGTTAAATGAAATATCTCCGGTTCTAGAATTCATTCTTTTTACTAAGACATTTTACAAATTTCTTTTTACAAAGCAGAGGTGGTCATTTAGTTGTAGGCCAACACCTGCTGGTGTGGTCACCTGCAGTAAACCAGAGCAAGTCTCTTTTCTAAGCAAAACACAGCACAAAGATCACTGTCTGCTTACTGCCTAAAGCAAAGTAACCACAAAAATATTTTTGGGGAGGGAAGAAAAAAAAAAACCTACATGAAATACACACTAGATGAACACATCTTTTAAACCCAGGAAGCACCAATTTATTTGGTTTCCATGAAAACAATGTCAGCAATCTAAATATGATTTGTTGAAACCTTAGCACAGCCAAATGGCTTTTTAGCTCTTCAAGGGGATCAGGGCCACTGCATTTTTTCCACTAGCAATTGCTTAAAAAAGAAAAAAGAGATAGATAAAAAAGCATCAAATAAAAATTTAGTCATCACAAGGTTTAAAGAAAGAAACAATTTATCAAACCATCTAGGTTTGGCTGCAAGTTCAGTGGAACATACTGAACTGACAGGGCTTATTAAGTGTCTGAAATAATAAATGTGATACTTTAGGAAAAT